AAGAAAGACGGAGCTAAAAGAAGAAGATATAGTAGAATGGCAGAAGGATGAGATGGAGACCGTTGAACACTGTAATACGTTTAAATTAAGTGAAATTACTAATAAAAGAATTAAAATAATGAAGATAAAATCCCTTGAAGGTAGAAAAGAAGTTTTTAATTGAATAGCAAGTTTGTTGGGATTGTTAAATACGTTTAAAACGTAGGAAGGGCATTGTAGGGAAAACACTTAAAAATGTAAAATTCATAATCTATCATTTATCCATTTTTGCAAAATTATAAACTAAGGGACATTTTCTTAAGTGGAGGGCCAAATTTAGCCATTTATATAACTTAAATTCTAAATAGAATCTATAAATATGGTAAAACTTAGAGGAGGAAACATGTTGATGATGATTAAAAACTACTACCATAACAGGGTGTTTAAATGAATTGTTAAAATCAACATAGAAAGTGTAAAAGAGGTATAGATGCAGTAGTTTATATATTTCTTGTTTGTTGATTTTTACAGTAATATTTACAAATTAGATTCATCGAGCTTACTATACTTGTATGTTTAAAGAAAAAGGAAAGGATCTCAAGATAGTTGAGGAAGAACGTGTTAGTGAGGTAATTATTCGTGCATACATGTATTGACATTCTACTTATGATATTTGAGTTATATAGTTGTATATACATGTATTGACTATCGAATTTTGTTAATTCTTGAATTGGTATACATAGTTGAGTTGCACGATAATTTTTTTCTAATGTTTTAAGGACGATACAAAGTCTGATGAAGAGAATAAAAGAGTGAATAATGAATCCACCGATGAAGATAAGAAAAATAACTCAACATCTAAAGAAGTTTAAGAGACTGAATTTGATGACGATACACGCCTAAAGACTACAAATTTAATAGGCATCACCTATTTTCCAAATCGTTTTGGTTTATGGGTTGTTAGTCTTCAATTTTTTAATTTACTTTTGTTGTAGATGATTTATTAAATGATAAAGAAATATGAAAACAAGAATACAAACAACATATGAAAGTATATACTCCTTAGTGGTTAGGTATATATACCAATTAATGCAAATATATATATATATATATACATTAAGAAAATAAAGTAGAACATGGAATAACAATGAGATGTGAGACGAATCGTTGTACACAAATCGTTTAAATTAATTGAAATATAAAAACAAAGTAATTAAAATAATTAACTTGAAATCCCTTGAATGTAGGAAAATCATTTTGAATTCAAAACAAAGTTTGTTACGTGGTTGAATATAAGAAAAGCTAAAAAACAAACATGAAAAAGGGTATTGTTGTAAAACCACGTTCTTTTGTAAAATTCCTAAAATACCCTTTAGCCATTTGTGCAAAATTTAAAATTAATGGATATTTTTTAAAACAGGTATCAAAATTTAGCCACCCACTCAAATTTCCCAAAATATGCGGTGATTTGAACACATGCAAAACTTTAGGGGGCAATTGTAGGAATGGCTAAACTTAATAACACATTTTAAAAAATGTCCAAACCTATGAAATATTGTAATAACGACTAATTGATTTTTTCCATTAAATTCTAAAATATTTTGTAGACAAAAATAGTCTTGTAACCAATTAAGTATATACACATCATTTTAGGGATTTATGATTTTT